CAGGAAATTCAAGTGGGGATGGGACCTTGTGGGGAACTGAGATACCCGTCTTATCCGGAAAGTAATGGAACATGGAAATTTCCTGGAATTGGAAAGTTTCAGTGCTATGATAAGGTAAATTTGATGAACTAGAGGAAGTTTCTGTTTTATTTATGTTTTGAGTAATATATCTAATTTAAACAAACTTAAAATTTTAACTCGCAGTACATGAGAGCTTCACTTGAAGCAGCAGCCGAAGCCCTGGGGAACAAAGACTGGGGAAAAGGCGGTCCACATGATTCGGGCCATTACAAGCAAATTCCGGAAGAAACTGGGTTTTTCAAGAGAGATGGAACATGGAACACCGAGTACGGGTACTTTTTCCTACAATGGGTACTCCAGGCAGCTACTCGAACACGGAGACCGAACACTCGCAGCCGCAGAAGGAGCATTCCATGGAACAGGAGCGAAACTATCGGCAAAGGTTGCCGGAATTCTTTGGCACTACGGAACAAGGTCTCATGCTGCTGAACTAACAGCTGGGTACTATAATACCAGATACCATGATGGTTACCTCCCAATAGCAAAAATGTTTAGTAAACATGGAGTTGTTTTCAACTTCACTTGCTGGAATTGAACTTGCCGGAGAAAATGCACTGGAGAGGTACGATGCTGGTGGATATGCACAGGTTTTGGCCACCAGTATATCGGATTTTGGCAATGGTTTGAGTGCATTTACGTATTTGAGAATGAACAGAAGGTTGTTTGAAGGGGACAACTGGAGGCATTTGGTGGAATTTGTGAAGAACATGTCCGAAGGAGGTAGAAAGATATCCGGGTTCGACACCCAGGGAACAAATCTTTACATTGGGTTTCTCCAAGACAATAATGTTGAGAAAAAGGAGGCTGCTTTTGTATAGAAACTATGTACAGAGTCGATGTACACCATGAATTTTTGCATTATATAGCAAAGTAGCAGATGGGTCAAAAACACAATAAAAGCATTACATATCCGTAAATAATATGGAGATTTCACTCTATCTGGGGCAACATTATATTTTAGTTTTTATTACCATAGTGGCCGAAATGATGAACTAAAAAAAAAAATCAGCAAACAATGCCCTCTTTATTACCATTATTATTTCTTTCAAGTGTCAATTTAATCCATACAAAAACTTCCAATGGCTGCTCTGATTTGCAAGCATTCTTTATGCTGAAAAGAATCCGTCCTTTTCTGCACTGCCTCGTCCGATGGGATGGCCAACACCAAAAGTCTTGCAAAAATGAGTTGAATGCATCAATATATATGATTAGTCACAAGTATAAGCTATCTTGATTGGCTATCTGCTAAAGAGCTGATCAGAAATGCACTTATACCAAACCTTATTTCAATCTCCGTCCGCCGTTTCTCGATGAGAACGTAATGGGAGCCTTGTTGACTGAAGAGGTTCCTTCTTCTGATTCTTGTATTGCTTGCTTCAAGCTCTCTACCACCTGATTCATTGTTGGTCTTTCCTTGGCATTTTTGTTTGGGCAGCTATCGGCCAACTTCCCAACCTTTTGAGCTGCTCTCAAAGAATAACTGTTTCTAAGTCGAGGGTCCATTATCATGCTGAACTTTTTACTTTCAGGAGGGAATTGCTTCACCCAATCTAAAAGCTTCTGTTCCGATGTTGGCCGGTTTCTCTCCACCACTTGCCTCCCTGTGAGGATCTCGTAAAGTACCACCCCAAAAGTCCATACATCACTTTGGATAGTGAGATGACCAGTTTTCACATATTCCTGGTCGGCGTATCCGTATGTTCCGACCACCTTTAACGAAAAGAAAAGGTGCAAACAGCTAAAAGAGCTATATTGGTGCTACAAATGCACCAACACCACTAAAGATATTGATGGTCAGTGCATAGTGGCCAGCAAGGATGCAATGGAGATGCTTTTGCAGACACTAAACTGAGTAAAAATTCATTAAGCACATACTCGGATAGCTGAGATATACTTACTGCAGTGGATACGTGAGTAAGATCCCCTGAGGGCCCTTCCCTTGCAAACCCGAAGTCCGAGAGCTTTGGCTTAAAACTTTCATCCAAGAGCACATTTGAGGACTTGAAATCTCGATATCACCTTGCGAAGTAACACAAGGCAGATAAGATTAGAGATTATCCGATGTAATCAAACAATGAGGTAAATTAAGTGCATTAGTTGTAATGGTGAGTGAAGTGAAGAAGGGGAACCCGGAATTTATTTTCGGGTTTACAGTGCTGTTGGTGGGAGTCATCTGAATAAAAGAAGAATGTACCTTGACTTCCAATCCCTCTTTCACTGTCATCGGAACAATATCCTAAAAGTTGAAAAGATGATCTTCTAAGCTCCAGTTCGGCATGAATTCGTACACCAGCAATCGATGAATCCCTCTTTCACTGTCAACGGAACAATATCCTAAAAGTTTCACCAGGTTCGGATGGTTAACGACACCGAGAAATTGAACCTCCGTAAGCCATTCCTTATGACCCTACATGAGGTTACCAAAAACACAATCATTACTTTGACCAGTTCTCAAAATAAAGTGACATTCTAATGGTCCAAAGCAAGAATTCAATACACTGTCACTTTGCCTTAGATTACTTTGTATCATTACAACATTCACATCACTAAAGATCACCATCTTAGTGCAGAATTTCATGACCAATCCATCGCATTTGTTGCAAATTCCTATGAAATCTTTGTTCAGTTACTATGACAAATTTGATTTAAAGAAAGGGAATGGTTTTTGCAACAATTTACCTGTAAACCTTGGGTGTTGAGCCTCTTGATAGCAACAACTATGGGTTCACCTGGACCATTTAGAGGGCTAATTGTTCCCTTGTAGACACCACCAAAGCCACCCTGGCCGATCTTTAAGATCTTGTTGAAACCATGGGTTGCATCCCTCAACTCTTGCAAAAAGAAAACTCTCAGATTATGCTCTTTTTCTTTGTACAGCTCCGGTATGCTCCTTGGGGTTGGCAAAGAACTCGGTTCTGAATTGTCCGATTTAGCTTGGTTTCTCGATTCAGGAGCAGTCCTTGATTCTCTCTTCTTGTTCTTTGATTTGTTCTTGATGAAGATTGAGAAACACTTCATTTCTAAGGTTAACTTTTTATCAGAACAAAAATGTTTTCCTCAAATTTGTTCTATCAAACAACTGCAGCATTTCCCTCACACATTTAAGTTATCATCATCAAAGAGAAAAGAAGAACCCAAGAAAAAAAACTGAATTTAGAGACATAAAATGGAGCCAGACGAGTCTAGGTGCAAAGGGTGTAAAATGGTGGAGAACACTAGATGACAGATGGCGTGAACCAAGTATAGAGGATAGACGTGAAAATACAATAGAACAGGGCTGAATTTAAATCAAAAGACAGGGTAAAAACAAGACAAGGAACAGTAAAATTAACCAAATATGCCCTTTCTCAATCCTAGAGGAGGGAAAAGGGTGCAATGAAAAAGACAGGACATTATTCATGAATGAGAGAAGACATTGAATTTGTAACTGCGGGGACATGAAACAAATTAAGAAAGCAAAATTTTCACATTTCTACAAATGAATAATGAATGGATGGGGATTGAGATGAATATTTATCACTCGAGTGACGTCAAGTTAAAAAAATTTTGCGTTAATATAATTATTTGAATTTTTGTTTAAATTTAAATTTAAATATTTATAATATTGGGTGATTTTAATTTAAATAATTCTATTTAATTATATATATGACACATATATTCATATATTTTTTACATGTGTAAGTAAAATTTAAATTATTATTTACTAAATCAAATACTCTCTAAATATGTTGTGTTTATAATTTAATTTTGATAATAAAATACTATTGGGAGTACAATAAATAAAGAATTTGCAAGGAGTTATCATTGGAGGATTAATTAAATAAAATATAAAATTAAAAGACTAAATTAAAAAGATAAATATGTTATTGACAAGAGGAATTGAAAGTATTCTACTATTATTTAGTAATGTATAGTTCAAATTTAGTAAAAAAATGACTTAAAACAAAGGAGAATTAAATAAACAATGAAACTATTTTTCTAATAACATACGGTGAGTATAAGATAATATATGTTCAGAATCTTTCTTTAACTATTAACAAAACATACACATCCTACAGACACAGTTGCTTGAACCCAAGACCTTTAGGACGAACAATACTCCTTTTAACTTTTAAAGTCACTTGACAGGTTAAAAAAATTTAAAATTAAATCATAAAATAATCAAACTATTTAACTAAAAATCAAAATAATATTACTTAAATTTTCAGTTATCTGAATTTTATACATCCAAACTCAAAATTAGAATAAAAATTTTGGAATTGACTATTTTTGTAAAGAAAATAGAATTGATTAATTATTAGTTTTTTTTCGAATTAAAAACTAACCGTGGCAGTAAAAAGAAGCTTATTGTATGCCGCGCTATGTTTGGTTTCTTTAAATCTCACGTGGATTTATTAGATAGCAATTAGCAAGGATTTTTAATTGCATGCAATATTTTCAACAGCAAGGGGTGTACCTTTTCATCCGTTCTACACGTCTCACGCAACCAGGTCAACACGAAGATTCGTACCTGCTTTCTTTATTAATTTCCTAAACATATTCAGACTACTTTATCAGACACAAATTTGACCTTTTTTCTTTTCCATGTTTAATTATGAACTGTTGAATCTGTGGTTGATTGTGTCGTAATCACGAACATGAATATGAATAATTTTGGCAAAACAGAAGCAACCCGTTTTATTTCAAGGATGCTGTCAAATGTGACAATTCCTTCTATTCAAGTCGACGAATCAAAAAAAAATAACAGCTGGGGTTTAGTCCATGGCAAGTTCTTCAGAACTCTTCATTGGTTATTACTATGACATCAGTTCTCCACATTGACAACCACCAGGGGTATATGGCCGTTTAGGCTTCAAACTTCAATTCAAAGTTGCTGCGGATAATCCCGACACATTCATCTGGTAATTCATTCGAATTCTTCAATTAGGATACCCAAGCAACCGTCGGCTCATCGCAGGTGGTGTTAGTCCTGGAATATCCGGAATGTCCTTATTCTTCGGATTCACGAGCTGAGAAAATTTGTTAACCAAACGGCTAAGATTCATAATCATTTTCTTGCTTTGTAGCTTAACAAATTTTCGATCCCAACTCTTTTCCATCTTTCGTACCAAAGCAAGAAACTTTAGTTCAGTGATAAATGGAGGAAGGAGACAAGAGAAAAAGAGTAGCACCTTGACGACGATGATGGTTATGACACCCATAACAATGAGAAACAACATTGTCATAATGCACTTATCAGTGGCAATCTATGCAGAAAAATTGAATGAACTTCGTAAATAGAGTTGAATACAAGACAAAGTATTTGATTACTGGAAGAAGTGGATGTTTCAGAGATTTACTTGCCTACTAAATTCTTTGACCAATTTGGATGCTTTTTTCATTGAAAAAATGATAGAATCCAGCTCATTAACTATACTGCTCATTTGTTCGGTCTAAATATGAGGAAAAAAAAGTTTCTTAGTTTGAATATCAAACTAGAGTAAACCAGTTAGCTGAACTTGAGATATATAGCCTATGGTGTTGATACTTCTTAATGCTTTCAAGTTAGCCTTGAGAGCTGCAGCAGTATCTGTTCCAACATCAACAGTGTCTTGGACAACCTATTAAGAACAAGGGACAGGAAGAATTTAGTCTACCATTTAGGTATTACATCCCAAGACTTTTTGCCACTTTTCTTTTTAAATAAAAAAAAAAAAACATAAAATGAAACTTCAAAGAACCAAAGCTCTAAATGCAAGGAATTATTTGTCGGTTGAGGAAGATGCAGTACATGTTAACCAAATCTAATGCAGAAAAAGTTTGTACTACAACCTTCTTAGCCCTGTCAATGGCTTGATCAGTCTCATCCATCATTTGGTTTCCTTTATCCATTAGCATGTGATTTGTCATAGCTGCATAACAGCGAGAAAAACAGTCCAAAATTGAAGAAGAAATCGACATCTATACATTATTTCCAGTGGAAATTCCAACATCAAGCCAACCATCAATGTGAAAGAGTCAAGAACAACCTATGTTACCCATACTCAAGAGTATCAGATATGGATATGCCTAATTTTTTATGTTTTTCTTTACAAATATTTGGAAGATCATACCTACACATGACGTCTAGAAATTGACAGTGCCATACAGATTATAAAATACGTTTTATCCATTGAATAAGCTCTTACTGACATTTGTTACATTAATTATTTTTAAGTTAATTTAAGAAGTATTATTGTTGTTTTAGAAGATATTTATTATTATTTTTTAGTAGAAATATTATTATATTTTATTTATTAGCATTTTATAGCATTAGAAGTTTTTCCTTAATAAGATTGATTGCTAGATAAGTCCTCTATTCAAATAACCTTTATTTAAAAAGAGAAAATAATTTCAGTGACCGAAAATGCCTTATAATATACGATTTTAACCAACTTTTTTTGGATTTGCGAAAATGACCAATAAAATCGCAACGCGAAGTCCAATTTCGCAACACAGGTTCCAAAATTGCAATGCGAATAGGTAAATCGCAACGCGAAAGTCAAAATCGCAATACAAAAGTCAAATTCACAACGCGAAAGTTAAAATCGCAACGCAAAAGTCAAATTCGCAACGATAATATGTAAATCGCAATGCGATTTTCCAAAATCACAACGCGAATTTATTTTTCATAACACAAGTTTTCTTTTCACAACAAGATTTTTTAAATCGCAACACGAATTTTGATTTCGCAACTCGATTTTTGAATTCGCAACATGAATTTTAATTTCGCAACAACTTTTTTTTCTCAACACAAATGTTTTGGGTATATAAACTACGCAGCAGCGGCAACTCATAACCTAAATCCCTAAATCGCAACTCATTCCATCTCTATCTATCACTCTCTCCGGCGACATCCGTTCCAATATCCAACGACATCCTTCCCCATCTCTAATTTTTTTTACATAATTTTATTTCTATATAATTTTTCAATGATTTCTCTCCCAAATTATCAACTATCAACTTAATAAAGGTATGTTTTTCTCAAAGTTAGTGATGATATCTAGTTTATAGCTCGTTTGTTTAGTAAATTAATTTACAATTTGTAGAATGAAATCACCTAATGTTGATCATGTTTGGATAGATTTATGTTTTGGAGGGTCGTGGGAGAATGTTCATGGTGTTTTACAATATATGCCTTTACCCATGAATCTTCAACTAAAACTGTCATTAAAAAAGTTAACTTATGAAACTCTTATGTTACGTGTTGCAAATAAATTGAATTTAGAGCCTCTAAGTGGATTTAGGCTATCTTATCAGAGAAAAGGTAAAGTTTATTTGTTAACTGACAATGAAGATGTTGAACGATTCATTGCTTACATTAGTGTTTCGCAAGATGATGTTACATTGTATGTTGTTGAACCTAGAAGTAGTGAAGTTGGGTCACTAGCGGGTAGTAATCAACTAAGTGCTTCAACCCCACTTTATGGTGCTCACAATGTACATCGTTGTTATCAACCTCAAAATTTAATAGTTCCACCACAATTTCATCACCAAGAAAATTTTGTTTCACCACATTTCCAATACCAAACACAATATCAAACACAATCTCAAAACCCACAACCTTTCCCTAATCCAAATCCCAATCAACTTTCAGCACCAAATTCCGATTTTTGTATTGACCAGTTAGACGATGATGAGCCAATAGAAAAAATTGTGAGTACTAGTCAGTATTCGAAATTTGATCTTAGTCAATACTTGGACTTTGATCTTGGTCAATACTCGGATTTTGATGATGTTTCAGAAGAAGAAACAAACCATGCGTGTAATGATTTTGATATTGGTCAATACCTGAATTTTGATGATGAAACAGCCGCTGCATTCGAAGATGTTGTTTATGATAATGAGGAGGAAGTTACGACTGTGAATGAACATGTTGAACATCCATTCTGTAATTCATATAACCCTGAAGAAGAAAAAGAAGAAGAATAATTCCCCGGAGAAAAGAAAAAGAAGAAAATACAACGGGAGTATAACTGGAATATGTCAGAATTACTTCAGATACCTGAAGAAGAGTTGGTAAAGATAGCAGTTGATTGTTACACAAAAGTTATTTGTATCAAGAAAGATGATTGTTTTGATACAAAGGAAGACTTGAAGATAGCTTTGTATACGAAATGTGTGGAAGATGGCTAACAACTAAAAGTTAACAAATCAAGCAAAGATCGTTTCGAAACAAAGTGTATGATTGACAAAAACTGTACGTGGCATATGATTGCAAAGAGGATAAAAGATTGTGAAATGTTTCAAGTTAGGACTTTTATTGATAAACATACATGTTCAAGAACCCAAGTTTTTCCTCACCATAGACAGGAAAACAAAAAGGTGTTTGGTGGTTTTTTGGCTGAGTTGATGTTTTTGAATGGTAGGGTATATCGGGGACATGAAATTATGACTGATATGAATGTTCGGTTCAAGATTAGTATCTCATATTCTCAAGCTTGGAGAGCCAAATGTTATGCCTTGGAATTGTTGAGGGGGTCGCCAGAAGCATCGTTTGCCCAACTCCTGGCTTATTGTCACAATTTAAAGTTGAAAAATCTTGGGTCGGTAACTCATATCAAAACAGATAGAGATGGACGCTTTAAGTCGCTATTTATCGCCATTAGCGCTGCGATTAGTAAATCAATATAATTTTGTTGACTTATTTTTGTTAGTTACATGCATTTCACATTTAAATGATTATATTTCTTGTGTATATTATTTTGTAGATTCGTTCGTTTATTACTTGCATGCGCCCAGTTATTATAGTTGACGGAGCACATTTGAAAGGTCAATACCTTGGAGTAAACTTATTAGCAGTAGCCATGGATGCTAACAATGGGATACTGCCAATAGCTTACGGGGTTGGCAAATCTGAAACCTCTGATTCATGGACATGGTTTATGGGGCATCTTAGGGATTGCATAGGTTCTATAGCAATCTAACAATCATATCCGATAGGGCAAACTCAATTGACAACGCTGTTAGAAGGTGTTTCCCATATGCTTTTCATGGACTTTGTGGTGTTCATTTGTACAGAAATCTAAAATCAATGTCTGCTGGTATAAAAAATCACAAATGGACATACTGGAAGGCTGTAAAAGCTTATTGGGAAGTGGATTTTAATAAGCATATAAATTGTTTAAGACGTGTTTTGCCTCAATGTGCTCAAACACTAGAAGATGTCGGGTTTGAAAGATGGTCAAGAGTACATCAACTTCGAGAAATGTATGGTTTCATGACGTCTAATAGTTCAGAATCAATCAATGTTCTAAGTCTTCATTCCCGAAAATTACCCATTACTATGTTAATGGAGTTTTTTCGAGCCTCTATTCAACAATTGTACTACAAGAAAAGAAACCATGCAGGTATTATTTCTTTAAATTCGTAACTTATCATATTTAATTTAAATATTTTACTAAGTATTATTTATTTAAATTAACATGAACATTGGAACGTCGTGTTACACCATGGACTAAAAAAAGATAACGAAATGTGTTGTGAAGTCAACTTCATGGAGAGTTAAACCATGTTCAAACACGTTGTTTGAAGTATTGTATAATAACTTAAATGGGCTTGTCGATCTAAATGCAAAGACTTGTAGTTGTATGAAATGGAAAACATCTGGTTATCCGTGTGGCCATGTTATAAAAGTTGCTCTTCATCTAAACCAAGATGATTCAAGAGCATACGCTATGGATTTCTACACTACAGAAGTATATCGACAGACTTATGCCGAGATTGTCTACCCTATTCCATATCTTTCTGAGTAGGACATATCATATGACTTACAAATAGTTTTGGCACCAGTCATGGACAGCAGGCTACCTGGTCGACCAAAAAATCATGATCGTATGCCGTCTAAGGGTGAAGAGAAGAGGATATCAATATGTAGTCGGTGCAAGGAAAGTGGTCATACAAGGTTGACCTGTGGATCACCAGTGCCATCACAATCATCTTTTCCTCTAGCAAAATATGAATCCTCATCAAAATATAAAGCTCATATGATGCCAAGAAAAAGGAAATCAAAATCAAAATCCCAATCACAACCGACTTCACCTTTTGGGACTTATTAACTTAGGTGATTTTTAAATGCAAACGTTGTATTATGTGTATTTTATGTGTGAATGCATACATTTTCAGTTAGACATGCATTAGTAACTTGAGTTTGAACATTGCTATGATCTGTTCAATTGTTATCACTTATCAGATTGTTGTTTGTTATCTTTTTGAAGGTGTTTTCCTTGAAATCGCAACGCGAAAGTCAAATTCACAACGCGAAAGTCAAATTCGCGTTGCGATTTTCGCGTTGCAATTTTGACTTTCACGTTGAGATTTTGACTTTCGCGTTGCGAAAGTGTACCTTCTGGTCTTTTTTACCTTCAACATAATGCAGAGTGAAATTAAACAACAAATTAATTAAACAAAAAAAACAATTCTTATTTACACTTATCAGATTGTTGTCTGTTATCTTTTTTTTGAAGGTGTTTTCCTTGAATTCGCAACGCGAAAATCAAATTCTCATTGTGATTGTTTAGAAAGACAAATTCACAACGTGAAAGTCAAAAGCGCAACGCGAATTTGACTTTTGCGTTGCGATTTTGACTTTCGTGTTGCGAATTTGACTTTCGCGTTGCGAATTTGACTTTCGCGTTGTGAAAGTGTACCTTCTGGTCTTTTTTGCCTTAAACATAATACATAGTGAAATTAAACAACAAATCAATTAAACAAAAAAATAATTCTTATTTACACTTATCATATTGTTGTCTGATATATTTTTTTAAAAGGTGTTTTCCTTGAATTCACAACGCGAAAGTCAAAATCGCAACGTGAAAGTCAAATTCGCAACGTGAAAGTCAAAATCGCAACGCTAATTTGACTTTCGTGTTGC